AAACACATAAAAATGTTGCATTATCATGACTATATTGGTTGTATGTTACACCATGAAATATATATATCAGTGGTGCAGATAAATAATGCAAACAATTATGAATAAACATCAGTCCATACATATGTCTAAATAAATATATACTTTGTATCATAAACCCGGAGTATGTCATGACTTTAAAAAAAATATCTTAATGTTTAAATAGAACATATAAAGGACAAGTATACTTGTAGTACGAACTATAGAATATATACAGAATAGAGTAGTACATCTAAATCATAGTTAAAGATCAGAAAATGTTTATTTTTTTTTATGGGAAATTAATTAGAACACATATTGCTAAAAAAACAGAGTCACGAAGGTAACCCATCACAAAATTGAAACCAACTGCCCACAAAATTTACGGATCGGAGTAAATTGGAAAAATTAGATTAATTAAAACCAACACAATATTAATGTTTATTTTATATTTTCCAAATTTGTACATGTCATAAAAAATGTCAGACATTCATACGCACATAAGATCCAAAAATGGGTGTATGCTGATTTTAATATCAATATATAAAATCGATACATGGCATATAATATTTTATTAAAAAAAATATCATTATATATGTAGATTATATAGAGATCACATAGGTGTGTAAACAAGATTAAGAACGCACATACTAAGGCAATGATGAAAACAAAATTGGATATGCATGAATAATCTAATATAAACCCATATGATGCTTTATTGATAACAAAATGGATAATGAAGAACCTGATAGGGGGGGCGGTGCTAAAGAGTGGTGGGCTGGCGGCCAAATCGTCGATGACTACACTGATTCTACTCCTCCAGGCGGCGATCGGGGATGAATAAAGGTGTGTGCCGATCTGTGCGGCGGAGGAGAAAGAGTGGCGATCTGTGCGGCGGCGGAGGAGGAGCGGCCAAAAGAGATTAGGGTTAGTGCTCGTGCTGATAACGTGTTGAAGGAAGACTCTCTTCTCTTACTTTTTCATTGCCNAAATGGATAATGAAGAACCTGATAGGGGGGGCGGTGCTAAAGAGTGGTGGGCTGGCGGCCAAATCGTCGATGACTACACTGATTCTACTCCTCCAGGCGGCGATCGGGGATGAATAAAGGTGTGTGCCGATCTGTGCGGCGGAGGAGAAAGAGTGGCGATCTGTGCGGCGGCGGAGGAGGAGCGGCCAAAAGAGATTAGGGTTAGTGCTCGTGCTGATAACGTGTTGAAGGAAGTTTCTCTTCTCTTACTTTTTCATTGCCCAATGTCTCTATATATGAGGCGGGATTAAGGTTTACAGTTAAAGCCCAATGGGCCCACAATACATAAACTACAAAGTACAATCCGTAATACATATTATATCTACACGATAGCACACAATTTGCAGTTCCCTTTAACAGAAGACACGAGCTCAACTTTATTCAGGCTAAAGGCCCAACTAGGGGGTAAGCCCAACCATTTGGAACGAAGTCAAGGAATACACATTTTTCCACTCCCATCCCACAAAAATCTTCCTGTTTCATTTTTTGTGGATCTCACACAACACTTCTATCTTGCCTCAAATGTAAACAAACTTTCAAAATAACTTCTATCCATAATAAATGAGAAATATGGTAAATTCTAGGCATTTTAGCTTTGTGTAAAGGTGTTTTATAGGATAAACAAAAAATGAAATAGGAAGATCTTTTTGGGACGGAAAGAGTATTTAATATTTATTCTTATAATAATTAGATGAGATTAAATCTCATTAGATCATATCAAATCAGATTAGATCAAATTAAATTAAAAATAATTTAATTATAAATGTAATTAGATTAGATCGGATCAGACAAAATTAAATTACATCAGAACAGATCAGATAATATCGTGTTTTCAGACTAAATAAGGTGCCTCGCTCGCTCTCACACACTTCTATCCAACAACAGTTTGTGTTTCTATGTGCTGATGTTTACTAACTTATTATTTATATTATTTTATCTTTATTCAAAGCTTGAAGTACACCATCACGGGGAGTTTCAATAACTTTTCACTCAATGAAATGAGGATATCTCCTACTCCATTTCATTCCCGTAGACCATGGGTCCGTTTGAGAATAATTTTTTCGATTATTGTTAACGTGTTGGATAAAATTTTAACGTACAAATTAAGTTGAAAACGCTGACAATAAACACTGTCGTATATAGTCTTTTCAAAATGCCAACGTTAATCTTTTATGCTATTTCTAAACAGGTTCCATGACAAAAAGTGACTTTCTATTTCTTCTTAATATTTATTCTATATTATGGATACCCATTTAAATGTAATTAACCAATTTAACTACTAAGTAATAAAAATTGTTAATGGTGTTTGCACGGTTGGCCTGGAGGGTGTGCAAAGTGGACAACTGTACAAAGTCTCTAAAATTATAAAGCTTCATATTTTTAAATTCGTCATCAATCTTGAAGCATAAGCATTTTAAAATAATAAAATAGGGCCCAAAGTATAAATTTTGGTCCGACCAAATTCGTTTTTTCATTTTTCGAGACTGCTCATGGGTGTTTGATTAACACCTAATAGGAAACAATATTATTATTTAATTAAATTCATTATTTTTTTAATTCTAATATAATTAAGATTCTTTTTTGTAATCTATCTCTATATATAAAAATGAGAATTTCATTATTCAATAAAATTAATTATTGTCATATTTTATTACACGCCCAAATATAGAGAGCACACTATACAAAGGAGAGAACTTCTTTTATACCCAAAAACCCGAAACTAAGGGGCTGTTTGTTTCAGCCTCTTAATGGTTCAGATGTCTGAATGGTTTAGCACTTAATGGTTCAGACTGTTTGTTTCAGCCTCTTAATGGTTCAGATGTCTGAATGGTTAAGAGATTTGCTTCTGAATGGTTAAGTAGTATACAGAGTCTGAATGGTTAAGACCTCTTATCTGAATTGATCAGACATTTACCTCTGAATAGTGAAGCAATATACTAGCTCTTAATGGTTCAGACCTCTTACTGGTTCAGCACTTAATGGTTCAGACCTCTTACTGGTTCAGCACTTACCGATTCAGAAGTTGCCAAACAGCCCCTAACCCCCACAATCCACATCCCAAGTTGTAAATTACTCCCTTCGTCCCATTTTATAACGCCTGTTTCGGTTTACGATGTTTGACTGAAATTATTTTCAAATCATTTTATATAACAAATGGTATATAATTAAAAAATAAAAATTACATATTAAAAATACTACATCAAAAGATCTACAAAACTAGTAGTGACAATAGTAGTTTATTTTATCAAATTGCTAACGAAAATAGAGAAAAATAGTGAATGAAGTTTAACTCTGTAAATAGTGAACAGACATTATAATTTGGGATGAAGGGAGTATGACATAGTATTCCTATGCTAACACCATTTCAAGTAATTAAAAGTTCGTTGACAATAACTCAAATATACCAACTTTAAAAAATATTCTTTTCATTTCAAATATGATTATTTACAAGGCAAAATTTCTTATCTTTTAAAATTATTTTATTTATAAATTGATATACCAATAAAAAATAAAATTTACATTCTAAAATACATCAAAAATTCTACAAAATAAAATGTGACAAAAATATTTTATTTTATTAAATAATTAATGGAAATAAACAAATAAATAAAAATTATCAAGTAAGCAGAGAAAAGGATCATGATCAAATTTAGGAGGAGATAGTGACTACTTGCATTTTCAATTATTGGTTATTTTATCAACTCGAAGTCCAACACTTTGTTTTAAAGTTTTGACAAATTTATCTAATAACAACCAACTTTAACATTTTGACCAAATTTGCTTAATTCACCTTCATTATGGTTAAACTCATACTCCCTAGTGTGTCGGATTGTCCCTCTTTACTGTTAACACAAAGTTGAGTTATGTTAATCAAATTTGAGTTATGTTAATCATAATGGATGTGGAATAAAAATTCTACTACTATACATTATACATAGTAGAAAAATGCTTGGGATACACTTATATCTCATTGCTCCCATATCACGTGCAGAGTACTTCTCAATGTAAAGAAGAAGAAAAATTAAAAAAAATGTATGATTATAAAATGTTTGAAGTACATTTGGATTACATATTTGGTGTATCTTGAAATCACTTTAAACAAAAAAAATAAAGGAGTATACCAAAAGTGTAATCAAAGTGCTCTCATACCACATACTCTCAATGTAAAAAAAATGGTCCATCCATTCATTATTTTTTTTTGTTACTCCGTACTTTTTATTTTGGACCGTCCAATTTTTTTTTCTCATTTCCTATTTTGAGAAAAGACTTTTAATAATTGTATGATTATATCTCACATTTTAATGTCCTTAAGAAACCACATCAAAGGTGCTCTGACTTTCAAATGTACGGGGCATGCAAATTCTGTTTCTTTGAAACGGACTTGCGGAGTATCCGGGAAATTGGCGCTCATATGTATGTAAAGCCGGTATAGGTACTCCGTATAGCTAGCGGAAACGATTGCTTCACCTCATTCGAAGTTTCAAACTGCTGAGCACTGAGCAGAGTCAGAAGCATCATGGACTTCGACGACGGCAATGGAGAGAGCTCTTCAAGCTTCGTGATCGGCCTCACCGAGAACCGCGCCAAGGAGGTTTTCATCTCTCTCTCTCTCTCTCTCTCCTTCTGATTTCACTGCATTTGCCGGTTGCTTAGTAGTTCACTTTTCCGCATCGATCAATTCATCTGTTCAATAGATCTCCGCTAAGAGCTTGCATTGAGAGAAATTAAATGTTGTATTGGAATATGTGCATGTGCGAATGAATTATATGTTTGATCCGATTGTTGTTAATCTGTCAAGTTCAACCTAACTCCATTGTTATGAATGTCGTGAATTCTGCAAATCTGTGCAAATTGCCGGCGAAATTCTCTAATTTCGTTCATTCCGGGGCTGCTGATGATGAATCGTGCAAGCACTTGCGCGCGGTTCAATTTTTCCTGTCTTCTTTTTTTTTGAACAAATGCACATAAATTTTATTCACCACCGCAACAGACATCAAACAAACAACTTCAGAACCATAAAAGCTAATACAGGCTACTGCTTTCCTGGAACCAACAACTATAGAAACACAACAGCTAATACAAGGCTACTGGTTTCCAGGAACTCAACACAACACCATATTCCTAAGCTTGTTGTTTATGTATGTTTCCAACTGAAACTTAATCCACTCTTTGCTTTCTCCAGTTGAGATACTCCTTTGCTGTTTAATTTTGTGGTTGCGTGCCTTCCACACTGCATAGCATATGGCTGCGAAACCAGCCAGAATTATTTGTCTATGTTTCCTCCCTTTAATGCGTTTAATTTCTTCTTTCATTTCTTCATCATTGTTGGCCTTCCATCTAAACTGTAACCATTGTCCAATCTCTTCCTTAATATCCCTAGTATAAGGACATGTATAAAATAGATGGTTTTTATCTTCCTCTCCATTGGGGCACAGTACACAATTAGTGTCTATATCCATGAACTTATTCGATCTGACTTTGGTACTGATCCTGTTCCTCCATCCTAGCCAGCTCAGAAACTGGTGTTTTGGAGCTGTTAATTTGTTCCATACTATTTGATATGCCTGGAATTCAGTGCTGACACCCATTAGCAACTCATAACCCTTTTGAATTTCATAATTCCCCCCAATAATCATATCTTCAAACATCCTTCTATTCTGGAGAATTTTCCTCAGATAGTAACACATTCCAGGCTTAACTTTGATGTCCCATATTGTAGTCCCCTTGAGGTACCTATTGTGAATCCATTTGACCCATAGTATATCCTTTTTATTTGCAATGTCCCATAGGAGACTCTGGCCACAAGCATAGTTCCACAGCACCAAATTTTTGATTCCCAGACCCCCTTCCTTTTTGGGCCAGCAAACATCTTCCCAGGATACAGCTGGAACTCTATTGTACTCAGCTTTGGAGCTCCAAAGAAAGTTTCTACACAAACTCTGAATCTTCTGCATCACTTTGTTGGGTATGATGAAAAGCCTACACCAAAAAGAGATGATCCCTAACAGTACAGAATTGATTAATTTATATCTCCCTGCATAGGACAGATGTTTGGTGGCCCAAACTGTTATTCTTGAAGTCAGTTTTTGGACTAGGGCTTCACAATCTCTCTCTGTGATTCTGCTAGCTGTTATAGGTCCTCCCAGATATTTGAACGGGAGATCACCTCTGCTCATTCTTGCTAGCCTCAGAAATTCCCTAGCCTCTTCCTCACTGACACCCCCTAAGACCATTCGAGGTTTATTGTAATTCACTTCCATCCCAGTAACATTCTTGAAGTGTTCCAAACAACTGAGAATCATTTTGATTGAATCCATATCAGCCTTACAAGCCACAATAAGGTCACCAGCAAACGCCAAGCTAATAATGTTCAGTCCTTTGCACATTGGATGGTACTTAAACTTACTTATACCAGCATAATAGGTGAGTGTTCTAGTTAAGTATTCCATTACTTGCGTAAATAGAAGGGGGGATAAGGGATCACCTTGTCTAATGCCTTTGCCACCCTTAAAGTAGCCAAAACTCTCACCATTGATCATCAGTGTATAGGTTGTGCTAGAAATACAGAACTGTACCCACTTAACATATTGTGAGGGGAATTTCGTTGCCTCCATAATGTCACTGATGGCCTTCCAGCTAATTGAGTCATAAGCCTTCTTAAGATCAATCTTCATTAAGCATCTGGGTGAAATGGTTTTCCTATTATAACCCTTTGCAAGTTCCTGGCATAACAGTATGTTGTGTATCAACAATCTACCCTCCACAAACACCCCTTGATTGAGGTTCACTACAGATGGAAGGATCTTCTTCAGTTTGTGACTAAGGATTTTCGAGATGACCTTATAAATGACATTACAGCAGGCTATTGGTCTGAATTCATTGGGTGAATTTGGGTTCTCGACTTTAGGGATCAGGACTATATTGGTTGCATTGATCTGTTTAGGGAATTCCCCATTCATGAAGAATTCCTTTACCGCCTTGACCACCAAGTCTCCAACAATATGCCAATTCCTCTTATAAAAGCCACTACTATACCCATCAGGGCCGGGACTTTTATTGTTGGGAATTGAGAAAATTGCTTTCTTGATTTCCTCTTGAGTTACTGGTTCCAGTAATTGTAGTTGCTGTTCCACCTTTAAGCATGGTCCTGTTTGGATGATGTCCTCATGTATAGGTGCAGTCCAAGATCTCTTCCCCAGTATATCTTGGAAGTAATTTACCATAACATCAGCCACTTTGTCCTTACCTTCCACCCTTTCCCCTCTAACATTATTGATAGAGACTATCTGGTTAGTAATAGCTCTGTCTTCTTTTTTTAACAGCAATTTCTGTTAATTTTTATTGAAAATCTTAGATAGAAATTGCTTGTGGTTTTAGAGTAATGTAGTTTGTAATCTATTTATGCACACATGGAATATTAGAAATAGAATGGTTTTGTTAAAATTTATTTAGGCACACATGGAATATTAGAAATAGAAATTGCTTGTGGTTTTAGAGTAATGTAGTTTAACGACTGTTTTTAAATTTATTTAGGAAATATAATATGGCATATTACTAAATTACTTGACGAACAAGAAAAGAGTTTCCTCGTATTCAAGAAAGCAAGTATGATAAAGAGTTTACTCGTATTACTTGACGAACAAGAATAGAGTTTACTCGTTTACTCGTATTACTTGACGAACAAGTAAAGAGTTTATTCTAACAAGAACGCAACCCCCTATTGTAGGAACATGGAACTACAAGTATCGGGTTTGTCTTTGCAGCTTCCGACGATAAATATGTTAAATCAATACTAGCTATTGACAGTCGGAGTTGCTACTCGGATCGCACTATAGGTTAGTATTCTTTCATTCCTTACCCTTTTTAACTCAAAGTTAGCTACTTTGATTAGGGCTGTAATCGGATAGCCAAAAATCTGATTATCGTCCGCATCCGTATTTGTTTAAAGATGAAATATCCGCATCCGTTTTAAACGAAGATTATCCGTATCTGACTAAGGATATCAGATTACTAAACGGATACGGATTTGGTAATTATATGTTCGATCCGTTTAAAATCCGATCCGAATATGCATCTGTTTAGATAACCGTTTATCCAAATATCCGATCTGTTATATATAGTTTTTCCTATTTTTTATGATTATATTTCGTTTCTCTATTGATATTTCAGAGTATCAGAAACTTTTATATACAAAATAAATGTGTAGACACATGAAAATATGTGCAGACATATAAAAATATGGGTATATGTGTGCCGTGTATATCTTTTTATCATATGAAGTTATCGTAAAATATCATAAATAATGAAAACAAAGAATATAATTATCCCATAACAAATTATAGTTGATTTAATGATAATTTGACTTTAATATAATTTAAAGTTAAAGTATTGTCTAATTTGATTTTAAAAATTAGAAATGGATACAGATATATCCGATATCCGACGGATGCGGATACAGTTTTGATTTTCAGTATCCGTCAAGATCCGTATCCGAATTAGATATCCGACAAAAATAAACGGATACGGATTTGGTAATGGCACATTCGATCCGATTAATATCCGTGTACATCACTAACTTTGATCAAAATCTGTTTGCTTTTCAGCTCACGAAGATGTGAAAAAATATTTTTACTTAGAAGATTCAAAGATTGTAGTGTTACAATGCGGGAGCAGGCGGATGTGTACGAAAACCTTTAATGAAATTTGTGCAAATACGGTAACGTTCGATTTCATCTTTACGGTATTTCATAACATACAGTCAATTTTATTTATGTTGCTGCAAAACAGGACTTTCTTATCACCTCCCAATTGAGAACCATTGTCAGCGCATTTGATAACAAAATAAAGGAACTGAAGCCTCCCCACACCGCACACTTCATTGTTGGTACTAAAGGCAATGAACATGATCGTCCCTACATTTTTTGTTTTGATGCTGGTCAAACGATAGGTGTAGATCCACCAGCTATTTTAGGATTCTAGGGTTCTGGATCTGTTTATGCGTATAAAGCTCTGGTGCACAGGTATCCTTTGCACTCTCTTTAATTCATTCTCATATAGATTCATGCCTGTGCAATGCACGCATATAAAATTTGTCATGTTTATTGATTGCTTATGATCATATACTCCCCCCGTCTGGAAATGTTCTTTCCGTGTTGACTTGGCACGCTTATTAAGGAATAGTAAAAAAATGCAAAGTTTTCAAAAATGCACATATTATAAACTTTTAAATCTCTTTTTATTATTAAAAAAGTACTAAAAAAGTAGATTTTTGATAAAATAGAAGGGTATAATTGATATTTAGCCTTAAAAAGTATACTAAAAAAGGAAATGGGAAGAATATTTCCGGACGGACCAAAAAGGAAAATGGGAAGAATATTTCCAGACGGAGGGAGTAAATCTTAAGCAAGGTCTTTACAACATTAGAAATTTAAGGGTGTGTGAGCAAGTTCCTTAAAACCTTTTAATGTCAATATTAAAATAAATTTATATTGCAATATATAGTTATATACTACTCGTATCTTCGTCCTTGAGTATTTATCCAGTTTTGACTTTCTCCAGTTAATCATTTTCAATCTTTGAACTATAATTAAATAAAATATACATTGTATATTAATTTGATTAAATAATATTTTGAAAATATTTGATATAATAAATTTAATAAAAATATTGTTGTATCAAAATTTAGTTTGAAAATACTATTTTTATTTAATTCAAAATTTATGTTTACCCATTTTTATCGGAAGAAGTCATATTTTATATAAAACTCTCCTATTTTATAGTGTTTAAAGACATATTTTACCCTATCTTGGAAAATGATGTCCGAAAAGAATTTTAAAAACAATCCTTATTATTTACTCTGTATTAGTTTTAAAAAATATAAATTTTATAATGAAAATTATAACTTTTTGAAATATAAAAAATCTCTTATTGATAAAGAGTTTATTCTTAAACACATGGCACACTACACTAAATAAAAGTAGGGTGCGAATTATTGTAGCTATTAAGTTATTTGGAGTGGTGTGAATGTATGTATATCTATATGAATTGTTCTTCAGGTTTTGGACTGGAGCTACTCAATATGGGCGGGAAACAACATATGCTATTTCATTTTCTTTTTATATAGAGTAGGATATCCGGATTAAATGCCCCTTAATATATAAGGATTAAGAGCATGTACAATGGTGCGGCAAAAATGGAATGCCACACGGTGATGTGGAAAATTTGAATCAATCAAAAACATTTTAGTCAGCGTGTGGTAAGTGAATAGAGTGGCATGCTATGCAGTGGCAAGTCATTGTTTTTTACACTTTTTAATCTTTTTTTATGTATATTAATTATTAAAAAATTTGTAATTTATCTTTTTTTTTTACAAAAATAGATATACAACTGTATTAAAAAGCAAAGCTATTTTCTTATACAAAATAAAAAATAAAAAAAATAAAAAAGAAAAACAAAAAGGAAAAAATTTGCCTCGCAGGTTACTCGCAAGCCAAGTAAAAAATGGGGTGCCATGCCACGGTTTTGGAAGAGAAAGCTGAGTTGGCAGGGCGAGGCACTCACACCCCTCGCCGCTGCTCATGCTCTAAATGCAGGCTTGAAGAAGTGACTACAAAACCAGTAAAGAAGCGCTTCAACACGGCCAAAATCAATATTCCAAAGTTGACCACTGCAGAGGCATTGAGGTTCACCAAGGAGGCAATGGTTTACGCCTCGACAAAAGACAAGGGAACTGGGGGGGATTTTCTTGAAGGTAGAATATAAAAAACTACTTATATAATTTAATTATCTAAAATATAATTGAATCCATTAGATTTTTTATTTAATATGTACAAATTTTTTGGATTTCATTGTAGTCTTTATTACAAAGATTGCTAATGGGCAGCGGACTTGGGAGCACATACAATTTGATTTTAAAGCGTTGATATCTGATTTTCCAAAGAATCATTTCAAGTATCTAGACGGGGACAAGGCCAAAAAACGCAAGCGTGATGCTTAAACCACTTCGAAAGGTTTGTTGTTTTGGATTCATGTGACGCTACTTTGAGCTTTAAATGTATGTATGAGTCCATTATACATATGAGTTTGTTTTTTATTGACTGCATATGTTTCTCTTGTATTTTTTGATATTGGGGTGACTACATATGTTTCTCTTGTATTTTTTGATATTCACAATATGAACAAATATGTATGCATGTATGTGTGTGTCTATATAAACTACGGAGTACAAGAAAAAATAGATTTAAGAACACTCAAAAAGAGTCATCTATCAAATACCAGGACACATATACAATGTGTCCTTGTGGGAGTCATGGAAAGTCTAAAACAAGGACAGATAAATCCTGTCCTCTTTTTTATACGAGGACAAACATAAAACATTTAAAAGGTGTCATTAAATTCATAAGAGAACAATTAAAATGTGTCCTTAAATTATCTCACATGTGTCCTTAAATTTATAAGAAGACACCTAAAATGTATCATTATATTAGCTAGTATGTGTCCTTTTTATATAGTATGACACTATTTATGTGACTTAAAATGCATCATATTATTTTGTGACTTATTTTAAAATGACAGGACACTCTTTGCATGGTGAACAAGAACAATTTAGAAAAAAAATTACTACGTACATAGTACAACAAAAGAGAACAATATATTTACAACTTTAAGATAGAGCTACTAAAAGAAACTTCATCTACTAATTTGGTACGTATAGTTAAGAGACTGGCTCTATTTCAAGTCAACCTTTCATCTCTTGCAAATTACCACGTCATCAACAAAAGTAGAATTTCTAATCTGTCCTCTCAGGGTGCCTTGTGAACAATACAGTTTGAGCAAATTGGACTTCCTCTAAATTCTCACCAAGGAATTTCAATTGCAAACAGAGAGACCTTTAGGCAACTAAGAATTGAAAACATCACAAAGTAGCAAAGTGTATAAAAAAGCTCTACGCAACTATGTATTGCTTCATTTAGTGCCTCAATAGCACATTGAATTATAGCACTATATTACTGAATCACGAACATAAATTCAACTTCTAATCCAATAAAGGTGTTAATGAATATGTTACTACCCCTAAAATACAAGCATAGTTGAATTTTAAATTCATCACAAAACCCCAACAATAATTGAAATTGTAAATTCATCACAAGCTGCCTTTTAACAAAGTAACAGATGTGTATAAATACCTCAAATCCTTAGCACATACAAGTTGCATAAGACAAAAGTCTGATCAAGAGATAGACTCAAATGTAACCTCTTGTCCAAAAGCTTATCTTGTTCAATTCATTCTAAAAAAAAAAAAATCTGATAATAAAAATTATTATCTAGAAAAACTATTCAACTAGGGTGAATGCAACATGAACTCCCCATAAGAGCAAAAGCAAAAAGCAAAAAAAAAGGAATAAAGGATGAATATTATCTTCACCTGCGGTATCTCTTTAATGCTGGTCAGTTGATGTGAGGGCGTTTACATTATCTTGATAGAGTAATTTTAAATTGTGGTTGGAGCAGACTCTAGAATAGATACTAGAATGTTGCCCTCAAGGTAATTTAGAAATATTACTCCCTGGAAGAGAATGTCCAAGGAAGATACAAATTTCTCTTCTCAAGTTTAAAGCTAGCAGATCTATGATGGTTAAGAAAAAACTAAAGCCATGGTCCCCAACGTATTCAGGGATTATAATCAATGTGTGTCCATTCAACCGTAATTCCTAAATATAAACAAAGAAATCGGAAATGTTTGAATCTACAAAGAACTAATAAGAATGATTACCTTTAAATCCTGGAAGGTTGATAATCAGATCCTCCGAGCACTTGCGTATCCACCAGAAAGATTCAAGATTAACCCAGAATCTGAATACTTTCCTTCCCCCCAATCATCCCCAATCGTAGTCTTCCGTCAAGCGGAAACCTTATTCCCAATCGCAATTGCAGGTGCAACTCAGTGCAACAGCGGTTTTGGTAAAACCTAACCAAACCCAACCTAAATTTGGATAATTTATATTTTGTATCATATACTGAACCGAAATCAAATGATTCGGTTTGGTAAAAACCAAATTCAATCGGTTTGGTAATTGAGAAAAACCGAACATAAACTAAAATTTAAACTTTATAAAATCCATTTCATTCTCCAAATTGAAAATAACAAAGCATAATCCATTATATATAAGTTCATTACACACTCCAAAATTAAATTTGATGATTTCTAATCTTAAATAACTCTAAATTTAGATAATATGACTTAAAATTAGTGGGGTGAATATTCATTATTTTAATATTTGGATAGATATTGGGTATTGAATTGAGTAGCAATAAGTAAGATTATACTTAAGTATTAAATAATTTCGGTAGTCAGTTTTTACCGTAGTACCAGTTCCAAATATTGTATCAAACCGAAAACCAAATTTTTCAAAGAGTAGTGCTAGAGTCACAAACTACTGGGACACAAATTACACAAACTTGTTATTTGTGTACTTTTCCAATTGAATAAAGTGATATTAAATGCTTACAAAATGAAAATTGAGATACATAAATAGCAAGTTTGTGTAATTTGTGTCCCAGTAGTTTGTGACTCTAGCATTACCCTTTTTCAAAATATGAGAACCGAATACCGAAAAGAATTATTTGGTTTGGTTTCGGTACGTACCAAATTTTTCGGTTTCGGTTCGATTCGGTCGGTTTACTAAATTGTGCACACTCCTATAGTGCAACCTACTTTAAATATTCTTTTAATATAACCAAATGTCTTAAAAAACCTTTAATGACACTTTCAAAAATATGTGTCCTTAGTTTATGTCCTTTATTCTTGAAGTGATATGTGTGTGTGTATGTGCGCGCGCGCGTGTGTGTATAGATATATATACATATATATACATATATATATATATAATTCTCATTTCTCTCCACAAGCTGCATTCCTACAGGAACCGGCCCCTATATATATGTGTGTGTGTACACACACACACACATATATATCTGTGTGTGTGTGTCTGTATTATATATGTACACACACACACACATATATATAAACATACACATAGAAACACACTTTTTCATTTATAACTATCTAAAGAAAGTATTTTATAACATTTGACTAAAATTATATTAAAATATTTGAGTTATTTTACTAAGTTAAAAAATAAAATTTACATATTAGAAAAAGAATATTTAAAATTTTGTAATGAGTACTTGATTTTATTTTTTCAAATAAGTTGTTTAATATTAAAAAAAACCTTAAATGAAATTTTTGCATGATATTCATTTTTTAATAATATCAATAGTATCAATAGTTTTGTGTTTGATTGATAGTTATATAATATATAATATATCCTTTCTTTTATCCTTTAATATAATATTTGAAAGTTGATATCCTAAAATCTTGACACGTGGCAATTTTAGACTCCTAATTTGATGACAAGTAAGCAAGACCTACACGTGTTCACTTTGGAGAGAATCGTAAATTCTTCCAAGCGTCTATTCTACATTTCTAGTTTTCTACCCTGCGCGTTTTTGGTTTTCTTCATCGGCAAAGAATCTTCTTCGCCCAAATATGGAAATTAAAAAAATCCGCTGATTCTTCACGGATTTTTTTGCCTTAATTCCGAAATCTACCACTCCAAAATCGAAGAATTGGCCGAAATCGCCTTAAAACCAGTACTTCGCATGTTTTTGCCTTAATTCTTCTCTTCGGTTTCGCCTTAAGATCCGTGAACATTGATTCTTCGCATGCTTGAAGATCCAGGTTTTTTTCCAAAATACATATGCGTTTTTTATTCCATTCATATATTCGTGTAACCCAATATTAGTGCTACGGAATTCCATACCTATTTCAGATTCTTCTCTGCGATTTCCCCATTTTCTCGGCCAATTCTTTGATTCTAAATCGTGGGTTGACTAATACCAAGATTCCAAACCTAATTTTACTGCCAAAATTGAAAATAAAATAGGATAATGAGTAGTTGAAGGATTTGGGATCTTCATTTTAAAAAAAGTTTTTAGAAAATAATATTTTTATTTTTCCAAGATTGGCGAGGGATTGAGAATTCAGATAGATCAAGGTTAATTTAGGATTCTGAAGTTGCTTAGAATCAAGTTAAACTCTATAATTTCGTGTGAATTCCAGAATATCTTGAGTGGCTATATTGTGATATTAACCTGCTAAGGATATCGAGTAACAATAATATTATGAAGTTCCTACCCCATGGGTTGATATAGGAAATAGGAACATCAATTCTCTGAATCACTGTGTTGGTATTCTACTTCAATTTACTTTTTTAGTGCTTGACAAAATTCACTACTTTGATTAAAGAGAAAGCTAGGTGTTTATCTTTATGCTTGAGTGGTTGGTTGGTTTTATTTCCTTGATGTTATTTCTATCAATATATTCAAGAACTCTTAATTAATTTATGGCACCATAAGTATATGAAGAAGAATATTAATCCGTGCAGATCTATTTGTTGGTTTATATATTTTTTTCTGCTCCTACAGGTTAGCATGTCGGAGCAGTATTTGCACGGTGGTGACATTGAGGTAAGACCATAGTCCTCCATCATTTTTGTTAATGGGCGAGTGAAAGTATTTTAGCCAAGGTTTTCTGAATTTTAATTAGCTGGTTTCAGTATGTTTTCAACATGAAGTTACAAGTATATATGTCGTTTCGTTAAAGAGCTCTTTCCGCTGATTTTGTTTTAAAGAGCTGCCTTTGTTTTTCTTTTTATCCTGCTCAATAGTTTTCCCCGTGGGTGGAATACCCCATTGCATATATAGAGTTCATGCAAGTTGACAATTTCAGAAAGGTTTATTTCTCATAGTCCAGAACTCTCTTGAGATACATGTTGCTAATGGATAAAATGCTGGGAATACAAGGGTTGGAATTAAGAGTATGTTTCTGTTGATTAACTGCTATCAAGTGGCGCTATTAATATAGTCGTTATAATGTAAGGAATTTTAAGATTTTTTAAAAGATTTGAGAGGTTTGAAGTGTTATTTTTGCTAATAGTTGACCGTTTTCCAATATTTTTATTCACGTGTTCTATTTTTCAGATGAAATAGAACTTATTTACTATATTTAATGTAGATATAGTATTTTTATATTGGTTAGGCATTTATTATAACTGCCTCTATTAGGCTTAATTTTTTAAAAATGTTGTGAAATAAAGTGGTTGCAGAAGCTAAAAATCATTGGTCTAAAAGATGTATTATTATCAAGCAATTGATATGTAAAGATATTATCCCATTTTTTTGGCCATGCAGACTTTAGAGATACCATCTCACTACAATTCAAGAAATCGATTAATTTTGCAACTCATTAGAATGGTTTAAAGGTAGTTGTTCAAAAGAGCTCATATTTTTCCCAAAATTATCATGCCGAAGGCAAAGGGGTTATGAGAATTGCAGAGACTGGAGAATTTATGAACATCTTTGGTGATGGTAAGGTCTTAATTAACTTTTCTCTAGATATCAATGTTATGCCAAGGTAAAAACTTTCAGTGATTTCTAGGCTGATCATTTCAAACTCTATTTATGCCTTTGAGTAGGGGTTTGATTCCCAGGCTGATCTATTATATATATAAAAACACAATCAAAATCGTACCCAAATCTCACGGTGCAATTTCAATTTGAGATGCTATCAGACGGCCTAATTTCTTGCAATTTCAGATCCTAACAGTCATTTACGGTTTCCTGATTTTTCTCCATCATCTTCTATTCCGTTCCATTTAGCGCCCTCAATCGCTGTCCAATCCTCGATGAAATTGATGGTCATTTGAAACAATTTGTTCACGCACAATCGCCGGAATCTAATTTCTTCTTACTGTCGCACAGCTCCCTAGCAGTGGAATTGAGATGACACAAAGGGGTAACGATGCCGACATGAATGATGGCAGCGCCGGGCTAGGGTTTTGGCCCTAACGCATCCAGGGATAAAGTTGAGGACTTCATTAAATTGGTGGAGGGAGTTCGGTGTATAAGACACAGAAACTTGGTGAAATTAGTTGGCTTTTGTGCTGAAGGAATTTACAGGTACCATAATTAATTTTTATGCCCAAATAAACCAGACTTTTTTTTTTCTGGGTACCAAAAGGTGAGAGAAGAGGGGAAACTTAACTGACCATTACTTTTATCTGTGGCATAAAATATTACAGGGTTCTTACGTATGAACATGTAGACAATGGTACTGTAAAGCATTGGCTTCACGATATCCCGAGCCACGCCAGCCCATTAACGTGGCGCATTTGAATGAATATTATTATTCTTGGAGTCACCAAAGGGTACGTTCAATTTGTTTTGTTGCATTACGAGTCGTTCATTAATTTAAGCTTAACGTGTTTCACCAAGTTTCTGTGTCTTATACACTGAACTCCCTCCACCAATTAAATTCTAACAACATGACGGAAGGCGCAACACAGGTGGACAACTTTGGGGGTCAGGGTAATCCATGTTTGTTTTTTATGATTTACTACGTGCTTTTTTATCTGTATGGAAAAATGTTCCATTCTCTTCATCTTTACTTAATTATATTTGCATCAATAATGGGATCCTTAGTACATAGTTGCCCACCAGTATTAGATGCTGGAATGACTCATTTTTTATCAAATTTTTACAGTTTGAGTTTTGCAGTATGCCTAAAATGTATGAGCATCATTATAGTTTGAGTTTTGATATGTAAACTGGCTTTATTAAAGTTATCTTTCACTAATGGATTGTTGTTATCCCATAATCACATACTCTGTATTTGTTATTCAAGCAAAATTTTATGGTTTAGTATTTAATTGATAATTTTAAATTGAAGACTAATTCTTAATTTTAGCATATATGGACCTTCATATATGCTAAACACTAAACGAGCATTTTCATACCGTTGAAATATCATTTTGTTTTCTTGGAAAGAGACATATCATTTTGTTCATTACTCCGTACTATATATGGGGTATCAAATGTACTACCAAATAAAAAATATAATACATACAAGTTTTTGTTGCATTCTTTCTTTATGACAACAAACACATTGTTTTGTATGGAGTATTTTAAAACTATTTTTTTTATAATTATATTAATATACTTATTTATTTGTGTGTGTTATACTTGAATTTTGATTTAGATGTTTATTCTATGAAGTGCACTTGAAACTTTAAAACGAAACAATTACCCGTCAGCGGTGTTCGCTTATGACCCATATTCACGTATCTAGACTTATAGGAAAATATGAAATATTATACTTTTTTTATGGATAGAGCTTTATTAGCACCCACACTTGAAGTTGTTGAAATGATCAATGATTTTGTTTTGTCTCTAATTCCTTGAGATGAAAAGGAGTATTTGAGCACTGATACTTCATGTCAAGCAGATTTAGATATAGGCATAGATGGTGATTGGATAATGACTGAGTTTTTGAACGATATCAAGAAACATTGATCAATCATCTGAGTTGTATAATGGTACAAGATTAATAGTTGAAGAGTTGCGAAGAAATGTTATCGGTGCAATTATTGTATCAGAAAATAATGTCGGTGAGAAAGTTTACATACCAAGAATGAATTTGGTATCGTCAAATCCTGGATTACCGTTTAAGTTTCAAAGAAGACAATTTCCAATATCTTTATGTTTTGGCATGACAATCAAAAAGATTCAAGGCCAAACATTGTCATTTGTTGGATTATTCTTGACCAAATCGGTATTCACTCACGATCAACTTTATGTTGCAGTTTCACGAGTGAAAACTAAGAATGGATTGAAAGTGTTAGTTTTAGATGACAACGGTAACCCTTACAAAAGCACCAAAAATGTAGTTTACCCTGAAGTTTTTCAAAAAAATTGGATTTAAATAATTCATTTATACGTTCGTTTCCAATTTTATATCGCACTAAATTTAGTTATCATACCCTATTTGTATTGTATATTAAAATCCTAACATTGTATATTATATTTAGCTTCATTTTTTAATTATGTACTTAAAACAAACATTTAACAGAATTAAAAATAACATGTGTTCGACCCCGTGCGTGGCACGAGTTAAATACTAGTATATAATATTTGGGAGTTAAACTTCTAGAAATTCGACATGTGGCAAGCTACTTGGCAAATGTTTTTTACACATCATCAGCCACATTTGATGACTTAAGTGACTTGGCAATTTTAACTTAAAGTATGAAAACATCTTATTAGAGCAAATATTCATTCTCAATTATTGCACATATGAAAAACTTTTACGAGGTATATGTAAAGTAATTATAATTAGGAGGTTATAAATGTTAATTATAAACAACTTTCAATTAATTACTAATGACATTTATTGGCTAGTTCTTCCTTTTATTATAAAATTTGAGACTCTGGCTTACATGATATTGGCATGTCACAAGCTAATATGACATTTTTAATAAATCATCTTTTGTCTATTTATTTTTTTAATGAGTTGGTAATTTTAATCAACATACGGAGTACTGATTTGACATTATTTTATTTTTTATTGATTGGACATAGTGACTAATTTATTTGTCTTTTTAGTTTAATGCATTTAATCTTAAGCATTAGTAACTCTATTGTTTTTAACACCAGTTCATTTTTTGAATGATATGTTTGACAAATGAAATTTTTTATCAAACATATTTTTTATTTTGAGATTATAGTCTAATTTTTAATATTTTGATTCATTATATATTTATATAAATAATTATTCAAGCATTTGACAGCAAAGCGAACTGAAACAGTTAATGAATAAAGTTTTTAGAATTATTTAAAAATACCAATTCATTTACCATATATACGTATGTGGGGGAGTTAAAGAACACTTTCTATTTTTGGATTTAGAATCACTCCCTCTGTCCCTTTAAGATCTTCTCATTTTGACTTTTTATGGTTTTTAAGAAGAGTTGAAAAAATGTTAAAGTTTACCATAATACCCTTAATGAAAATGGGTGGAGTGTATTAAATGAGGTAGATGAGGTGTAATAAATTAAGTAAGTGGGAATATGTTTTTAATTGTTAAAAAAGGTAATGAAAAGATCTATGGTGGACAAATAAAAGGGGTTAATGAGAAGATCTATGAGGGATGGAAGTAATATATTTTTGCATAAAAAAGTGATTTAGATTCATCCATTTTTATGAAATAATTAATTATGCACCTACTTCTCTGAATGAATTTTATTAATTTTTTATTTAAGTTAGTGGTCTTATGCTAAACAAAAAGAATGAGGTTGGTTGCTACATATCTTTATCTTTATATATTAAATTTAAGAGTTAAACTCATAGAATTACAATAAGTGGTGAGTCTACATTGCAACATTTTAACAAATCATCCGCCACCTATACGGATTACGAAGTGCCACTATAAGTATTTGGGAAAAAAACTAAAATAAGATTAGAATATGGAGAAAGTGCTAAAATATGAGTTTCATATCTTTTATCTCCAAAATATTAGCTACAATACCAATATTTTATTATATAGTGCTAAAAACATTATGAAATGGTAATATACATTGCCACAACGTCACTGTGTAAACTTTATTTAGGAAATAAAAATATTGAACTTTTATTTTGGGCATAAGATTTATGTCTTACTTCTATTCGAGTGATTTTTTTAGTTTTGTTTAGGAAATATATACAGAGTAATATATATGTAGTAACTACCAAAAGTTTCCTTCTACACTTATATTACCTTATATATCTTTTTTTTATTTTACAAAATCATCATCTTCAACTTCTTGGGAACCTCTTTGCACATCTTTCTTTTTTTCTTCTATAGTGTAGATAGGTGAAATTGTGAAAACTATTGTGTAATTGATGATATACTCACACTTCATTTGGTAAGTTTAAGGGAGGGCATCATTAGTAATCTATTTAAAAAGTAAATTGATAGCATTATTTTTTGGTGAATTATATTATTTTCCATATTCTTTGTGGAGCTTACGAGAAGAGATTTCCAATTTTGTTGATCGGAACTCCAAAATTTATTATTTAGCTACTAAATATGAAGAGATTCCTTTTTTCTATATAACAAGGTTAAAGTATACAAAATTCGACCAAGAAAAGTCAAATGAAAATATTAAAATCCGAATGGAGAATAATAAGATCGAGACTAAGTTACAAGTTACAACCACATCAAAAAGAAATATAATTTCATATTTATAATTATTTCTATTTTGATAAAACATTTTGTATATTGACGAGAATACTATCAAGGGCTTGAATGATTTTGCATTATAAAAGTGAAAAAGAAAAGTTTGCATATGATCTTATGAGATACTTATCTACGATAAACAAATATCTAGCACAATATATACGATGAGGTAATAGAAGTTGTGACACCTGAAAGAGGAGGTTTCTTTTTTATGTATGGATACAATGGAACTGAAAAAATATTTTTTTTTTATAGAAATCAATGTTTATTTCTGTAATGTCAAATGATAAGATTGTCTTGAATGTCACATCCAGTTGTATTGCAGCATTACTTTTTCATGGGGGAAAGACATGGGTGAGTGACATTACACTTGAGATTCTCAATCTCTTTAGACGATTGCATAACGTGTGCCATCAAATAAGAGAGTCTGAAAGCATAACTAATCCAACAAGTCTAATAATATGGGATAGAGCATGCATGATGAATAGTTTATTTTTAAGGTGCTGGATCACAAAATGAGAGATGTAATGAATTTATCTAATAAAAACTCTAAAAATGAACCATTTGGAGGGGAAATAGTTGAATTCGGAGGGGAAAAAGTAGGTCTCGAAGGGAAAATAGTTGTACTCAAAGGTGATTTTTGGCAAACTCTTCATGTTTTACCCAAAACTTCAAGAGAAAAAATTGTGAGTGCTATCATCTATTTTTTAAAATTATGGTCGTATTTTAAAATTTATATGTTAGCGAAGAATATGATATTACATTGTTCTACGTCCTCTATCCCAGATAGGGATACAGAAATTTTTTCTGATTGGATAATTAAAGTTAGAGATGAAAAACTTAGACAAGTGATTGATGAAACAACTGACCTTAAAGTTCCGCATAAATTATTAATTTTAGACACAAATTTTGTGAAGAGTATAGTGGACTTCACTTATCTTAATTGAACCTATTGGAGAGTATAAAAATTTATTCATTTTTTAGGATAGGGCACTACTGGACCATGCTTGAGATTGTAGAGATGATAAATGAATTTGTCATATCCCTCATTACCTAATATGAAATGGTGTGCCTGAGTTTTGATTCTTCATCTGAGGCCGATTCAGATGTAATTATTGATGACAATTAAATAACAATTAAATTTTAAATGAAATCAAATGTTCGGAGATCCAAAACTACAAAATAATCTTAAAAATGGCTTAACAATTTTGATATTGAGAAACATTGACCAAATATATGGATTATGTAATGGTACACAATTAATCCTTGAAGAGCTGTTAAAGAATGTTGTTGGTCGATTGTGATTTTGAGAAATCGAGTCAGCAAAAAATTTACATACTCCTAATGAAATTGATACCATCTGATCTAGGACCAGTCTTGAAGTTATTTATAAGGCAAATATCAATAGTCTTATATTTTGCAATGACTATCAACAAAAGTCAAAGTCAAACATTGTCATTTCTTGCATTACTTTTAACCAAGTTGGTATTCACTAATGGTCAGCTTTATGTTACGGTTTCATGAGTGAAGACAAAAACAAAATTAAAAA